CCAGTTTTTACCATACTTTCAAAACAAAAATTAAAATAGGAAAAATATGCAATATGAAAATAATTGAAGACAAAATGTGTTTTACTGAGAAAAAACAAAATTTGGTTTTTAAAAAGCCTTTTTCCAAAAGGTACATCTGGAAAAAGGGGGGTCGTCTTATAATCAGGGTCATCTTATATTCGGGCCAATACGGTATTTTCACAGTCATGGTTGTGATGTTTTGTGTTGTACTCTTTTAGTTGGCACCTAAATAATTCACTGAAGTGATTAACTTTCATACTGGGAATTTGTCCTCTGCATTTACCCCTTCCAAGTTAATGCACACACGTCAGGAGCAGCGAGTAGTGAACACACACCCAGAGCAGTGGGCAGCAACCCATGGAGCATTTGGGGGTTAGGTGTCCAGTTCAAACCTCTTGAGCCTCTGCAACAGGTGGCTGTTGGCACATCTGGCAGGGGGAAAGAGATAGGCACACTCCACTCCTCTCTATTCACCTTATTTTGCAAAGTGGAGGTAAATACAATGACGTACATCCTTACAATTGTGTTAGACTTCCGTTTGGCTAGCCGGTAGGTAAGGGTGAATTGGCATTTATTTTGAATGAACATGAATTTGTAAGCTTAACCAACTTTTTTTTTAATTTTTTTTTTATCAGAATGGTAATGCTGCCTTCACGCCATGTTGTAATTACCGTAATTCCCGGGATGACAACACATGACATTTTCCTCCTAGCTTTCCATGTTGTCGGACTCGGAGGTAGAGCCTAAGTAGCGCCAACATGAACCTGGCGGCGGTCACGTGGTACATCTGTCACTGTTCCTAGTCGTAACTCTCAGAACATTCAGAGTTTACAAGCTGTAATTACGAGTTCAGGAGCATGTGAGGGCTTTGGCGTTGATAGTGTTGCCATAGAAACACATAATTTAGATGGAGGAGAATCTCACGTGTTGTCATCTCGGATTTACGACATGGCCTGAATGCAGCATAAATCACGTGTTACAAGGCATCTTGGACAAAGGTAAGAAAAAAAAGCTAATACAGGTCCCTTTATGTGCACATCTAGTTGTATCTGACACGTTATACTTAAAAAAAAAAAAAAAAAAACATTCTGTCATGATCACTCACCTGCATGTTGTTCCAAACCTATGTGACTTCTTACTTTATTCTGTGGAACACAAAGGAAGACATCAAGCAGAATATAAGCT